ATATAAAAAACTAGCCGGGCGAGGTGGCGGGCGCCTATAGTTCCAGCTACTCGGGAAGCTGAGGCAGGAGAATGGTGTAAACCCGGGAGGCGGAGCTTGCAGTGAGCTGAGATCCGGCCACTGCACCCCAGCCTGGGTGACAGAGCGAGACTCCATCTCAAAAAAAAAAGAATTTAGCACCAGGAAGACATTTGTCAATTCTTTAGAACCAGCATGTTTCAGCTGGCACGGAGGATCCACCATGTTGCTGCAATGATGAGAACATTCTCACCTGTGCTGCCCAACACAGTAGCTGGCAGCCACATGTGGCTAGTGACAAACTGAATTTTGAATTGTGTTTAATTTAAATAATCAGTACATTTCTTACCTATACTATCCAGCAGCTTTGCTCTAAAAGTAGTGTGCAAACAAGGCACTGTAATTAGCCTTGATTTTTGATAGACTTCTTCCCTCTCACCAGGAGGCCTAATGGCCTTAGTGCAGCCTTACTTTCTATTCTAAGCCTCTTCTAGCCCCTTTCTGAATCAGCAGGTCATACATCCCAAAGAGACAGAATGGCCTGCGGGAATCAGCACTGATCTCCAGGCAGGGCTAGAGAAGGACATGCTGGGATGAGGCCACTCACACTCCACTTAAAGGGATCCCAAGCCAGGAACCAGCCTGTGAAGGTGGGGGGCTCGTATCCCTGCTTCACCACAATGATGGGGGTCTCGGGGTCACGCCCGCTGGGATGGGTCTTGAGGTATTCCTGCGCGGTGATGGCTGCAGCCTTCTTCTCCTCCTCATTGGCATGTTTCCCAATCCAGAAGAAGACCTATTGAGAAATCCAGGAAATCAGTCCGTCCTTCCTGTCCTCCCTGGCCCATAGGGCTCTACCTCAGTTGTCCAACAGTGAAGCCCTGACTTTGACCCTGTCTCTACCACTACCAGCCAAATGACCTAGGGCAGGCACCATCTGGCCTTGAATTTGTATCTGTGAAATTAGGAGGTTGGACAGATGCCTTGTACTTGGATATTCTGCAAATGTGTGTCCCCCAGACTGTCCAAAGCCCAGGATTATCAAAAACACTCCTGCTCTCATGTGAAATAAATAGGACTTTGGGAGAGAATATGCTCTTCCCTGCAGCCTCTCTTGAGCACGTTACTCCCCACCTTCCTTCTTTCTTACACTTCTGGTGTTCATACCATTTCCAGGGAGAAATTATGTGAGGACCAATAAAATGTTGACACTTACCTAACCTTAAAGCCACTCTTTCTTGGCCCTGGGGATTGAGGTGGCTGGGAAGAGGGGTCCCCAGGCCCTTGGTCCTACCTGATCCCAGACATCTAGTAGGAACACGTCATCCTCTTCCAAGTCATCCTGATTGAAGTCAGGGATCTCTGTGGCCAGGAAGCGCCCAGTCTGGTTGGAACATTCAAAGAGCCGGGGGGTGATGACCAGGTTTTCTTCCTGTAGTCTGCAGGATGGAGAGAAGATTGTACTGGCAGAAGGAAGGTATGACAGGCCGGGCGCGGTGGCTCAAGCCTGTAATCCCAGCACTTTGGGAGGCCGAGACGGGCGGATCACGAGGTCAGGAGATCGAGACCATCCTGGCTA